AGCTTTTCCAAGGAAGGACATTAAGCTACCTGTTGATTAGCTCCAGAAAACCTGTCCACCTTTTTTATTTTCCACAGCACAGACCGTAGCCAGAATGTCATCTGCTAGTGAATACTGAGGTGTCTGTGTAAGGCAGAGGGGCAGGAGGAATAATCCCTGCTTAGAAGGGAGAAGTCAGGCAAGCACTCTGTGCCTGCAAGTCTCTGCCAGAGCTGCATCCAGGGAGCAGAGGGGAAGGGCCAGCCCTGCTGTGAAGCAGAGAGCCCTGCTCAGACCAGAGAGCATGCCGAGATGCTGGAGGAGTCTGGTTTATCTTAAACTAGCAAGGGGTCTGGGACAGACATCGAGTAAACTGATATGAGCCAAATCAGTTAAGTCTGATACTACATTCAACCAGGTTTATCTCAAACCAGTTGCAGCCATTTTCAAACTGGTTTATGTGCACTGAACATCTGTTCTGTTGCAGGTTTAAACCAGTTTCTCATCACTTAAACTGGTTTGTGTGTAATGTCTGTCCCTAGAGACTCAAGCATTAATAAAACATTCTACATAATAGTTCAGAGGGAACTGGAGCCTGTTCTTTTTTACTTTCACTGGTAATTCTTTTTTTCTTTTAGGGTAGTGATATGGAAAAAAGGATTGAATTTCCTTTGAAATGTGCAGGGGTCTGAGTAATGGAACTTATGGTGCTTGACTAGTTGAACTCTGCAAATAAGTCCCCTACCTTAAGCTAACAAGACTTTGACAGATATAAGTAAATGAGATCATTAAGCTGCTATTTGTTACACATAATAAATCAAATGCATCCATGGTATAAAGTCATTAGATTTCTCAATAGCATGATACTAGGAATGAATTTGCCACCCTTCCCCCCAACCCCACCCCACATAATGTAATGGTGTTTGGTAGGAAAAATCAGAGAACTAAATTGGAAAGTCATGTTTCTCTTTTAGGTGGGTTTTTAAAGGTAAGTTATACAGATATTTGATTAATTTAAAGTTCTGAGTAGATTTCAGGAAAAAGTACAAAAAGGGAATTCAAAGATAAGGTTGGCCTTCAGTCCTTCACTTGTGTCATTGTGAAAACAAGGACATGGGCCCAAAGTGACAGCTTATTCTCAAATGTCTTATCAACTGAGGCAGTTCTTACTGTTATTTCAGAACCATTTCCCTGCTTCAGGAAAACCCGTAGGCTTTTGCTATTCTAAATAGGAATGTGTCATGAATGGGGCCTTAGTATGTTCACTGTATATCTGACCTCACAATTCTGTTCTTGGGTTTAAAATGTTGTATAGCCAATTTCTTAATAAAATATAGGAAAACCCTCTTTAAATAAACCTCTAAAATATTTCCATAATGTATTTATTATTGAACTGTTGGGAGGGTATAATTTTGGTAGATTAATGGCTTTAACAGCTTTCCATCAAAGGGGACAAACATTTTTGTTAAATCAAAGTTTGTTCTGAGTGAGAATTATTCCCTTCCTTGCCACCCTCCAAATAACTAGAATTAAAATGGTCAGAGTAGTTTAAATCTTATTTAAAGATGAGTTTTTGTAAGCAGGTGAATTCTGCCACCACATTATGAGCCTGTGATTTTATTGGGATTTTAACATAAAAAAACAGACATTATTATATGAGGATTTAAGGACATCATTTTATAAGGACACACACACATGATGTGGTGTGAGTATTCTGAGTAAGTAAAAAATAATACAGATATAATAATGAAACTTTGGGGTAGAGGGAACTACTACCCCCGAACAACTCTTGGAATGAGAAAACCAGACCCTGCTCCATACATCTAGACAAGACTCTCAGTAATTTTCAAGGGACTTTTGTTTATTTATGGACTGTGAAAATGGGACAATTGGTCAGGTATCACCCAGTCATGTCATCTTTTTGTTAACTATAATAAAACTGTATTTCTTTGCAGCAAATATAAATTAAGCAGCAAATTACAAAAACAATTTTGAATAGTGATCAGTGTGACTAGTGATCTTTTCTGTTTGTTATATATCCAATGTTTCCTTTTATAAGTGCAATAGAGGCAATTTTCCCCCTGTCTTTGTCACAGCTTCATGGATTATCTCATTTCCCTCTGCTTTATACTTCTCATGCTTTTAGTTGTGCATCACAGGTCCCATTCTGCTGGGGGCCTGGCTCTGGGTGGGTTTTCCTCCAGATCACATTGGCACTACGGTGTACTCAAATTGCACTGGGCACCTCTGAGCGCAAAGCTCATCAGCATTCCCAGCTCCTGCTGGCAGAGAGAGGCTAAAGCCAGAAATAAACATGGAGGGCCAGATCCTCAGTCGTTGTAAATTGGCAGAGATCCACTGACATCTTTGAAACTGGGCTGATTTATTCCAACTGATGATGGGGATCTTGAACTTTTGAAAAAAAACATGGTAACACAGTTTGGACAATGGTTCACTGTTAAATCCTGAGCCAGATAGAAAAATTGCCATATGGTCACATATCATCTGCATAATCAAAAACAGGAAATCTTGGGGAAAGTCCCCCAACTTTTTTAAGGATTATTCCAATTAGCACTCATGAAGAGTTGCTAGGCTGATAACAGTATAAGCGTTTATTTTTTTCTATCTACAGAATGTGCCATACATGAGTACTTCCAGGCTGAAGGCTGCCAGCAGAGCAAAGGCTGTTTGGAGTTAGGAGGGAGAAATGTTGTGCAGGAGAAAGAGGGGGAAATGTATTGGCACAAGCCGATCATAAGCCCTGCTCTGTCCGGGCACCTACAGTCCAACAACGGGAGAGGGGAAGGATTGGCTGACCTGGAGATACTCTAGATGTGAACATCAATTGGAGAGCTTGACAGAAGAGCCCCTAGTTATCCCTGTTTGGATTTTAACAGTTCTGCCCCTGGAAGGTCACTGGGTTGGGAGGGAAGGAGAGGAGGGCTGACAAAGGGGGATCTCAGAAAAAGTCTTGGCCTTAAGCTGGACCTTCAACCAGACAAAAAGTGTGAGCTTTCAATTACTATTGGTCTGGACCAAATCACAAGCAGCAGCAGAGGAAAGGAAAGCTGGGAGCTTGTAACCATCCCCACAAGCCTTCAGTTGACCAACAGTCCCTTAAAGATATAAAGATACACATATATGTGTGTGTATGCATGTGTGTGTATGTGTGTGTGTACACACACCCCCATATATGTGGTTTATGTCACAAAGTGCATTCAATTTGTTGCATTACTTGGCCTTTTACTTGGCCTTTTTGTATGAAAAAACACACACATTTCTGTAATGATCTACCACATCTAAAAGACACTTGATTTTTCTTTCTAGAGAGGGGCCATGATGGTTACTAGTCTGAATGGCTCAGCCAATGTCAAAAATTATTGGTTCAGATGAGGGAGAGCTACTGGATTTGATTTTGCAAAACCCCCTGTTTGAAATAGAGATGAGTTGAACCAAAACCATATGTCATCATAATTATCATGGATTTGCTTTTGGTTTGACAAAAAGGCCACTCCCTTCTGTCCATTTCATTACTTTTGACATTTTTCCTCAAAGTTTTCACTAGATGGCAGGATTCCTCTGTCAGCTAGTACTGATAGATTTATTTGGGAAGCAACAGTTGCATGCTAGCAAAAGGCTAGTTTTTCTCATAATCTGTTAGAGTATTGTAAAATGTTTAAAAACAAGCATTAATTAGCAATACTAAATTAAAAAAAAAACATGATAGTTATGTTTAATAAACTGCAGCTTTACTACTAAATAAAGTTAGTTTTATGGCTGGAAATCATTCAGAGAGAAGAGAATGCCAGATACTATTTCCTTAGTCAAAAAACTGACACAATCATCTATTTTAAAACAAAATAAAATCCTTCACATCTGCATATAATATTTCTGCTGCATTTGAAAAACTAACTGACCCTATTATATTAATGCAGCTGTAATTCGTAAGCATATTATCAGCTAAAAGAAACTCGGGCTTAAATTACAGAACTAATATAATGCATCAACATACTAAGAATATACCAGTATATCCAGCATTGAGACTATTATAGGATAATGCATTATATTCCTTTGTATTATTTTGCCTCCAATTGTATGGGCATAAATATATGATAACTCCTGGATTTCAGGTTAACATGGCAGGACACATCATACTCATTAGTTCAAATTCTGTTTTCATACCATTGCAGTCAATGGATTTGTACTGATAACATATCTATGAGTAGAATATCACCTCCTGTCTAGGAAGACCAAATATAGCAACATATATTTACATAGTTCCTAATAGCCATGGCAAGCCATAGTCTTTGTACTGAAGTAAAACATTTATTTTAAGCAGACATACTTTTTTTTTCAAATTACAAATTTAGTTTTCAGAGAGATTTCTTGTAAGTTAAACTTTAAACCTCTATAATTCATTTTCATTTCATTTTATATAAAAAGATCATCTATAGAATGGCCAACAATTTTCAGTATCATTCATGGAATACAAACTAGGGCACATTTGACCTCTGCTGAAGCTGTTTCCAGGATAAGCCTCTGGAAACAGCAATAATTCTCAGGATTCTCAGGATAATGCTTTCCAGGATTCCCAAAATAGTAGGGACATTTTCCCATGCTAAATCATTTATTTTTTCCATGGCAAGACAAGAGGAGTCACAAATGGATGGTCAAGGCAGGGTATGCTATCCAAAACACTTACATTGCAAGACACTGAGCCTCCTCAACAATACCCATTGATTTCAGTGGCAATTGGAAAGATGCATCGATTCCTTTACATGCCTGAAAACAGCACTGGCACTTGTGAGTACCTCTTAAGTACCAATACAAGTGCTTCTTGTAAAGGACATTTAAAATGATCGGTCTTGCACCTGTAGAGCTGCCTTAACATTTCTGGCAGATTTAAAACTAGCACTACAGTAAAACCCACATGAAGGTTTTAGACTGAAAAGTCTCATTCAAACAGTCACTTTTTTCCCTCCCTTCAGTCACAACACACAGATAACATCCCTGTAGCCTACCTTGGCGATTTGCAAAGGCTGCTTTTGCTCCTTGCCACCTTGCAGTCTAAAGCCCCAGGGGGCCCCTCCACTCATGGTAATGCAGATATAATCCCCTGTACCCATTTTTCTGGTGCAGTTAGGCCGTATTCATTTGCAGAAGAAGATGGAAAAGTTCTCTGGCAGCGAGAGATATTCACTGAACTTGAGACTTGCCTGCCAGGCAGAGCTAGGGAAGCAGAGCACCACACTGCTGCTCCTGCTGCGTACTGCACTCTCTAACGTAGTCATTCACAAGACTGCGAGAGCTGTCTGAGGCTAAGGGCACAGCCCACTGCTTCGTCAGATTTCCATGCTCAGCCCACCTTCAGAGTAAAGTAAAATAACATTGAGGAAATGCACACACAAGCGATGAAGCCATAAGGCTAAAACAGCTATATTTAAACACAAGAGCCTCTGCTTGTGACAGATCAAACCACCAGAGAAAAAGCAGTGTAAATTTCCCAGGGATGATTTAAGACACAAAATTTACTTTTGTAAATGGCATCAGACTTGTTCAGCTTTAATTTCTGGGTTTTTTGAGCTCATGCTTCAAGCAAGGGAGGGAAGAGAAGATATAGAGAAAAAGAATCTCGTGGGTTATCTGCATAGATCAGTGGTTTTCAACCTTTTATTATAATTTGTGGACCCCTAAAAATGGAGGTGCGGACTCTTTTGGAAATGTTGAATGGAGGTGCGGACCCCTCTGAATTGTAAGTGTGTGTATTCACCTACTTTTGATTAATCATATCATCTTTCACAGACCCCTTAGACATAGTACCACAGGCTGAAAACCACTGGCATCGATGATAAGTCTAGGCTTAGACTCTCATCTGTCCTCAGTATGCGCTTGGTAGACCTCTGTGGGGATGTAAAAGAGTTACAACTTCCTGACTCTGGTTGTATCTTGGTCTTATCCCAAGTGCAGTGTAGAGCATTTCCAGGCTCTTGTTCCAGGCACTTCAGCCTAGTCATGACTCCATCCTTTTCCTTTCAGGCCCCGCAGCATTTCCATCCCCCTCATGTGGGGAAGGGGAGGAAGCCACAGAGGTGTTATCCAGGAGTTCTAGTGGCACTATCCCTAGATGAATGTTAGCAACGCAGTCTGCAGAAGAAATGGTTAGTGGGAAATGATCTACCCTGGGATTTGGAAAAGACTGAGGAGTGAGAGGGAAGGGACAAAAGCTCTGAGAAGCTGGGGGTGGGGGGTGCAGGTAGCAGGGCAAGCAGGGACAAGGTGACCACCTGACCCTCCTGCCCACTGCTGTCCCTGCTATTCCTGCTATAGCAGCATAGGAAGGGATGAATTTAAGATGACCCTCCTATAATTAGATTCTATACCTGGAAAATTATTATAAATTTAAAAATTTTCCATATATAATCTAATTATTGGGAGGTCATTTTAGAGTCAAGATAATCTTCGATTAAAGTAAATTAAGAGATGAGTTGTTAGAAAATCATACTTGAGGATCACACTCAGAAAGGGATTGGCTGGGGATGACCCTGCTTGAGCAGGGGGGTCAGACAAGATGACTTGATGAGGTCCCATCCAGCCCTACTTTCCTATGATACTGTGATCTTTAAGATAACAGACCTAAGAACCTCAGACTGAAGAGGCCTATTTTCATTATAACTCCATGGAAGCTAATTCTCTTTCCTTTCCCTGGTGTTTTTTCTTTCGCAGTAACAAGGGACTGTTGCTTTTGCAGTAACAAGCAACAATGATCTGTTGCTAAAATATCCAGAATTTTTTTTCTAAGCTTCTGATTTTATAGTATCTTGAGGACAAAATATTTGGATGTCTAGAGAGACAGCACAAGTGAAAATTACTCCGTCCAATTACAACAGCATAGCATTAGCATATAGCTGTAAAATGTTTTGTAAGTGATCTAGGAGAAAATTAGTATCTTTTCTTAAGACAGTGAAGCTCAGACTCTACCCTGTCTTCACATTTAAGAACTTTTGTGATGAAGCAATGTCGTTTTTGTACATTTAATAATGGTGAGGGCACCCAGGGCAATTAAGTTAGGTTTTTAATAATTTAAGCAAATGTAATAGATAAAATCTTATCTCCCCATATCTGATTTTCTGCATGGCAGAATGGGGACAGTGTAAAATACATACACTAAAGAAGTCCATCATTCCACGCATCTGTGTTAGGCTAATCCCATAATTGAGTTGGGAGCTTGTACTCGGACAGAGCTATTTTTATCTCTTTTGACCATATAAGAGAACTGTGTAAAACTCTTAGCTGGACAGAACCACTTTTAATCATTATCCTTCAGTGAATAATGATTCCAAAAGTAACTAAAATCTAGAAATCAGCTGAATTTATTGCATACCACACAAGAGTCACTGCTATAATGCCTGCCCAAAAACAAAAAAATGATACCTTTTATTAGACCAGCTGGAAATTGGTCTAATAAAAGGTATTATTTTGGAACCAAGAGTTCTAGTTTTTTGTATGCCCAAGGCAAGAACATCTGGGCTGTCCTTGCTGGTGTGCCTGAAATCCAGTAGTGTGATTAAGGCACTAAACGTTAGAGTTGACTTGGGGGTGCAAAAATAGCAGCCACTGCTGGCTCTGCTGCTGTTGCCCAGCAGGCAAAACTGCCCAGTTACATCTGTTTATTGCCCTTCTAGGCAACAAGAGAAAGGGGTACATGAAAATAGGAATCAGCAGAACCTGCATGCCTGTCAAGCATTTCACAATTTCTTTAAAAAACATTGGTTTTCTACAGTTTTCCAAAACACAAAAGTAAAATATCAGGTTTGGGGGTCATCCCTATAGAGTATATCAGTATTTATGTAATATGCTGCTAGATTATATCTAGGGGCCTACTGAAATTGTGATTTTGCGAATTTTGCAGAAATTGTGAAATCCAGCACTGCCTGCAAAAATTGGCAATGTCTGTAAATTCTGTCAAGAAAAGAGAGAAAACTTACTGAAAATAAGTCCTCATGGTCCTGTGGCCTGGCTGCAAAGCCCGCTGTGGGGGAAAGCGCACAGCCCGCTGTGGGGGGCTGCCAGAATGAAGGGTAGCCCAAGATGGCTTGGTTAAGAGGTCTGCCTGTCATGTGTCCCCTCTCCACTCCACCAATTGGGAACAAGAGGTGGGGCCACATGATGGACAACCCTTGCAACCAATCAGTGGTGAGGGGAGAGAGCAGAAACTATCTTGGACTGCCCTTCATGCTGGCAGCCCCCTCCCACCTTCCCCCTGGTGTGCTGCACAGCCAGACCACAGCACCTTGAAGACTGCTGGCCCCCTCTGGGGAGCCAGCATTTTATTTTCAGTAAGTTTTCTCTTATTTGGGGCAGATTTTTCAGACTTTTCTTGCTTTTGCAGGCAATGCTGGATTTCACAATTTCCACAAATCCTGATTTCGGTAGGTCCCTATATATAACAGACAGTCCTCACAGCCATTCAGTGGTGAGGGGTGGGGCCACTGAGGCCCCTTGGCTAATCAGAGGTATGGGGGGGGGGGGTCCTGCTATGACCAGCCTATGAAAATGGCAGCTAACCTCACAATCTCCCTGCAAAATCAGCCAGCCACCTCCTCGAGTTGGACAGACCCATAATTATATCTTCGGAAGTCTAGTGGGTGATGTAATATTTCACTCCCTTTAGCATAGGTAACATGAAATGTCAATACTGGTATAGACCTCCTTTAGATCTTCAAAGAAAAATACTGTTTTCTCCCTGAGTTTATTTATACATGATGTCTGGTACAGCTGCTCCAGAGAAAGTAGTGGGAATAAAATACTGCCAGACATTTAAGAAGTAACTCTTGACTAATACAACTTGACCAAGGCACGGACACTAAGAGAGGGTTTTGAATCTCAGTCCTGTCAGCATTTTGAATCTCAGTCCATCCAACAGAGAAGGAGGAGGCAGTTAAAAATTTATTAGCAGCTGTTTGTCACTTCTGCATGAATTCACAATCTGAATAAATTAAGTAGGAAAAAAGCGCATGAATGGAAGAGAAAGCCAGAGATAGAGGCTTCAGAGTTGTGTTTCCAGCTCTGCCACTGTCTGTCAGTTGATTTTGGTTCTAACTTACTTGGTTTCTTTATGCTGAAGTTTCTCTACCTGTTAAAAATGGCAAATGTATTCTGCTGTGAATTATTGATTCATGTTGCTTATTATTTGTGAATGTTCAGAAGACCAGTATTCATGTTCAGAAGTTAAATGTTTCATCATTGTTAGTCAATCGTACTGTTTGTTAGAAAATTCATAGTAGATGATGCATCATACAACAATTATTTGCTGTTTGCCTTTTGTTCTGCTTATCTTTTTAAATGGTTTGTTACTCAATCAGGGAAGAAAAATAGAATCACATAGCTTACATAACAACTGACATATTGAGTTGTTTGAGGCAAAGTGGCTGATTCTACCTATATATTGCTCCATGCTCTGGTTTCAGTATGTCAGCCAGTGGACAGTGGTGTTGCTTAGAGTGCCTGCTGTGAGCCCTGAAATGTCCCAATTGGAGAACTTGCTAGAGACAGACATTCAAAAAGCCTGAGCCTGAATTGATTCAGTCTCTGCAGGTTAGTCTAACCAGTTTACAGGTGGATAGATGTTCAGCACATGCCTCCAGTGGCTCAAGCCAGATACCTGGGGGTACTAGAGCAGCTCTCCCTGGTTTATGTGCACTGAATGTCTTTTCTGTTACAGGTTTAAACCAGTTTCTGATTACTTAAACTGGTTTATGCATAGGCGATGTGTAGGGTGGGCATGGGGGGAGGGCGGGGCACGTGCCCCCCCAAGATTGGTCACCACTGCTGTTAATCACCCTATCCCCCCGCCACCACCACTGGCTTCTGTGGGTGGTCGCTGCTCACTGGCACCACCAGCTTCTGTGGGTGGTCGATGCTCGCTACTGCCGGCTTCTGCGGGCAGTCGCTGATTGCCACTCGCCACTTGCAACCCCCTCCCCTGCTGCCTCTACTGCAGCCGCCAGCTTCTGTAGATGGTGGCCACGCACCACCCCGCCGCCGACACTGCCACCCACAAATTGTGCCCCCCGGTCTCGGGAGGCACCAGTTGTTCTTGGATTTATGTGTAATGTCTGTCCCTAATGGCATCTTAAATATTTTAAATGCATTTAATTGTTTCTGCTAGATAGCAAAACAGTGTTGGAGTACACAAATTATCCTAGATGCAGTTGGAGAAAAGTCATTTCCTCTATGACTGGTAAAGGCAACTGTCAGGAGAGACTGCGTACTCAGTCTAGAGGACT